AATATGCTTTTCTGAGCTTCTAGCTTCACCACGATTTTTAGAAGTCGGGTAGTTGATCAATGACAACGACTTTATCCTTNACAGGATATTCAGTGAAAGAAATGGTCGCAGCTTTCGAAAAAGCCAGTGGGCGTAAAGTTCCTACTGAGGTGCGGCATGTTCTAGGATTTTATGAGTTGCAACGACTCGGTATTTCTGGCTGACGTCGTTCGTTCAGTTTTCTCCGACTTCATGCTTAGTATTCAGATCGGTGAACCCCGTACCGGTGACATAGCTTCTGTATACTGTGATCCTTCGTTGGCATTGAAAATGCTCGACTGGAAAGCAGAATTCGGTTTGGAAGACATGAGTCGTGATCTTTGGCGCTGGCAGAGTAATAATCCAAATGGTTTTGCACAAGCATGACTCTACTGTATAGTAATTTGATGTAAGTTCTATCGCTTGATATTGTATAGTCCCCAGGACTGCATGGGCTACGTTGTAGGCTAAATTTAATTTATTTATTGTTTATTCATCTTTTATTACGTTCTATCCCATTCCACAAGATACTTGCCTCAGATATGTCACTTTTGGCTTCTACTGAATGGTTGTAGATTTCGTGATTGAGCATATTGAATTTCATAATGTGGAATAAAGCATATCTTCTGACATTATGTTTCCTGTTGTGCAATGGTATCACCACTGGTGTGCTTATTTATCTTGAGAGCGACAAGAATCTGGTCTTGATGATCTTATTCATCATAATAGATGAAACGGTCATTCAGGGATAGAACAAAAGCAGACACTAAAGCAATGATTACCTTTAAACCTCACCTACTAGTTTACTTCGAACATTGAGTGAGTGAGCTAAGAAACTGGACGAAAGAGGGTGAAGCCAAAATAGCTACTTTGCCCCTTAAATATGCTTTTCTGAGCTTCTAGCTTCACCACGATTTTTAGAAGTCGGGTAGTTGATCAATGACAACGACTTTATCCTTTCCTTTAGCTGGTGAAATAGTGTGTGGAAATTAACGAAACCTTACTGGTTTAGTAATTTCAGGACACCCCATTGGCTGAACGTTTCTAGGGAGCATTCGTGATAAGATCGGCAAAAAAGGCAGAAAAAATGTCTTTGAATGTCGGGGTGCTGGGGCATGTGGATAGTGGGAAGACAACTTTGACAAGAGCTCTCGCTGAAATGGCATCAACTTCAGCATTCGACAAGCACGCTGAAAGTGGTGGAAGGAGAAATACTCTTGATCTTGGGTAATGTGTGTAAGAGACTGTTCCCTATCAACCTTATATCATATAGTATTCATTCTTTTCTTTTCCAGTTTTTCTTCTTTAACTGTTGCCGGGCGTAGACTTGCTCTGGTCGATTGTCCAGGTCATGCTGGTCTCATAAAAGCCGTGTTGGCTGCAAGTACCGTTTTCGATATGGCGTTAGTGGTGATTTTCTCTTCTTTTTCTCTATACAACTTGTTTTTTCGTCTCAAGATATTCTATGGCTTTTAACAAAAGGAGTTCACTTTGAATCGTTATCTGTTTGTTAATCACCCAAGGAGTGGGTGTCCATAAGAGAATATCATCCCACAGTGTGTGCACGGAGGACAACGAAGATCTGCCATGCTCATGCTCTGAGGTGACGGAAACAACCTGA